GATGAGTACAAGTGAAAAGAAGTTATGTTACAATTATAGTTGTAACTTGACTTACGTTTACATCCTGGACAATTATCGTCTGAAAATGAACTCGCTGATCTCTACTGTCTCGCTGCCGAAATTTGTCTACAGCCTGGACTTTGCAAGTCCATTCTGTAGTTAGTGGTGTAATTTCACTAATAGTAAGTCTTTCTTCCATTTTATCAATATAACCTGCATATTGGTAATTGTAAAATTGCAAGAACAAACCATCCCACATTATAAATATGAGGCAGCAAATATGCGTAAAATACACTTGATATTGTTTGCAACAGTTAGAAAATTCTAGTAAATGTTGGATTTGAATTTTTTAATCACTACATTTTAGAGTGTTGGAACTCCCTACGTCAAGAAAGAATTGAAAACTTCGTTAAAGATATTCAAGAAATTTTGGTAATACGTAGAAAAGGCAGATGTTAACACGATTGGCATGGTAAGTGAAATTCATAGGCCAAAATCCTTTGAAGTTGAGCAAATATACAAACTTAAATCACGGTTCCTTTCACTCTACTTTCAGATTCAATTCAAACACACATGAAAAAAAGAATGTCCATCAAGTCCTTCAAAATGGGATTTAAGAACGAACTCAAGGAACTTGAGGTGAAGAAGTTTCAGATTTTTCATGAACTTCCTTTCCGCTGGACTATTATCTATGGTTGCTTGAAAGGTTTATCCAAACTTATGTATTCCTGGAGCTTGTAAAGAGAAACAGCATAGGCTATGCTTTTATTGGGTTTAGAAAAGCTATGTGGAAGTTCCCTTCTAGTAACTTCATACTAATTCTTCTTTCTCAAAATTGACTAAATATACCACTCATTGTGTGATTTCCTTTATCAGAAGCATTCATTTTCTATTTTTCTTCTTTTGCGTGCATGTGTCCGCGTCTTTATTTGTTTCTATTGCAATTGGTTCCATAATTGGAGCATGTATATTATTTTCACTTATGCAGTGTGTTAAAGACAATTAGATACAATCTCAAGTGGCTAGTTCGGCGTTGTCGTAAGGGCATTAGCACAGAAATTAAGTGTAATCGAAGCTTTGAACAGAGAAAAACACAATAAAGCTGAAAGAGGAATTTTATCAAACACTTACAGGACAAAGAGGGTAAACAAATGCAGCACCATAGGTTTAGGTAAAACAAAAATCAATATGAACCCAACCCTACTACGCATAATATCCATTAAGAAAACCAAATTTTGATTGACAGAGCAAAATACAATATTCAACCTAAAATAATCATAAAGAATACAAATGAGGTGGCAAAGAAGGTGTTACAGTGAGAAGGAGTTAACTTTGGGGCTTTAGCTACAGGTAGCTTTTTCTTGTTATAATCACCATTTCTTCACAATGATACAACCTATAAAAAAATCGACAAACAAAATATTGTTATTCCATTTTAGTTCTTGGCACTAGAAAACTTTGAATTTTTCAATAGAATTCGAATTCAAAAACATTGAAAGCAGTAGCACAATCAGCAAAAAAGATCAAGAAATTGCACTTATGGATATGCAAAATAAGTTGTTATTAAAGACCAGAGAAGCTGAGTTCTTTGGTAAGGAAATTACACTGACAGAAGCAGAAAACCAAAGATTTCAGAAGTGTTTCAGTCTGTGAGATGGGTATCTCAAAAAGAAAAAACCTAATGAGATAGAACACAAAAAAAGAAAAGAAGAAGAAAGAAATAAAGTATGGAATCAGAAATTCCTATTTTAAACACCTACCAATTTTAATCAAATACCAGTGAGTAAAGAAGAACGGCGGAGAAATTCTCGTGTTGTTACTAAGAAATCCAGCAAAGACTCACGGAGAAAATTCCATAGAAGATACAGAGGAGGAGAGATGGCGGTAGTAAAATTCGATGAAATTTCGTGAAAAACATCGACAAGTATCTCATAGCCCGCTTACTCACAAAAATTCAGCACACGTGTAGGGACACAGAAGGCATGTGAAAATACTCAAATACCCTTGTGTCTAAGCAGGGATGTCGACGGTGAGAAAATTCCATAGAAGATACAGAGGAGGAGAGATGGTGGTAGTAAAATCCGATGAAATTTCGTGGAAAACATCGACAAATATCTCATAGCCCGCTTACTCACCAAAATTCAGCATACATGTAAGCACAGGGGACACAGAAGGCATGTGAAAATACTTAAATACCCCTGTGTCTAAGCAACGATGTCGACGGTGAGCTGCTTCTGCGCTCTTCTATATAGTAGAATTCAGCACACGTGCGCAGGGGACACAGAAGACATGTGAAAAATACTTAAATACCCCTGTGTCTAAGCAGGGATGTCGACGGTGAGAAAATTTCATAGAAGATACAGAGGAGGAGAGATGGTGGTAGTAAAATCCGACGAAATTTCGCGGAAAACATCGACAAGTATCTCATAGCCCGGTTTGCTCACCAAAATTCAGCACACGTGTAAGTGCAGGGGACACAGAAGGCATGTGAAAATACTTAAATACCCCTGTGTCTAAGCAGGGATGTCAACGGTGAGCTGCTTCTGCGCTCTTCTATATAGTAGAACTAGTCGGAGGTAGCCCGAGTTGTGCCCGGGCCCAAGAACCTTATTAATTTTTTTATTTAACATAAAAAAACTTTTGTTTACAGGTCATAAAACAAAGCTGGAAGAAATCTATACAATTTGATTCATGATATTTCAAAACTAAGAATATAAATTGATTACCTTTTAAGCTACATCAAAAGTCAAATTGAAATAAAACTAATTAAAAATATACAATGAGGATGTAATTCTATCAGCTCCCTGATAGTTGTGTAATTTTAAATGTCTTAAATGTTAATTGCTCACATAATTTGTATGTTTCCCTTGAATTCCATCTAAAGTTTAGTGTTTCTGCTCACATAATTTGCACGTTTCTCTTGAATCCATCTAAAGTTTAGTTTTCAAAATTTGTTATTTATAAATTTTTTAAATAAATTTATGATACAACATTAAATACGAAATAATTTGTGATATCTGCTAAGCTAATTATAAATATAAATAAGCAAGTTTGATAATGCAATCAGCGAAAGACAAAAAGGGATTGTGATTTATGAATATTTAATAACATTAGTTAATTTTTTATAATGGGTTGCCAACATATAATTTATTTCGGTAAGGAAATTTATTTCGATTGTTAAAGTAAGAGTTTTTGACTAATATTGTCCCTTATCTTTGAGGGTAGGTTTATTTTGGTCCTTCAAATATAATCCTGAGCATATTTAGTCCCTTAAGTATGCAAAAGTGGAGCACCTTTAGTCTCACTGACACAATGTGATCAAAAACTAACGGTGTTACCCAACTCTGATTCATGAAGCAAATCTTCTGCTCTGAAGCAAAACGTTTCCTCTCCTTTTATTGGATAACAGGATTTATCACTTTAACTCCTCATTTTTAGATAATGTCTTCTAAAATTTTGACATTGAAAATTTTCTGTGCCAGTTTTCAATGAGAAAATGACATTGTATGCCGCTGTAAAAATAATAGCCGAAAAAATATATAAAATCTAAAAATTTGGTTGATTTTTCCAAAAACGAAAAGTTTAAATTTGAAAAAATAGAGCTGTCAGGATCACTTCTAGGCATATTATTGAAGCAAACGAATAACCAGGTTGTGTTATCACTTTTAGCCCGGGTCAGAAACTATTCACATCTGGTAGCCAAAAAACTATATAGAATTTGTATAATTTTTTAACATAATATATATATAATATATATATAATATATATAATATATATATATATATATATATATATATGGCTATTATTTTTACAGCGCTATACAGTGTCATTTTCTTATTGAAAACTGGCACAGAAAGGGATATTTTCAAGGTCAAAATTTTAGAAAATATTATCTAAAAATGAGAAATTAAAATGATAATTTGCGTTATCCAATAAAAGGAGAGGAAACGTTTTGCTTCAGATCAGAAGATTTGCTTCATGAATCAGAGTTGGGTATCACTGTTATTTTTTGAACACATTGTGTCAGTGAGACTAAAGGTGTTCCACTTTAGATATTTAAGAGATTAAATATGCTCAGGGTTATATTTGAAGAACCAAAATAGACCTACCCTGAAAGTTAAGGAATAATTTTGGCAAAAAACTCGTTAAAGTAAGGCAAGAGAGAAGATAATTCTATCAGTACAACCACGTGTCCACCATAAGAGCAAATACATAATGAGAGCAGATGGGGTCCACCTTTTCGGGGCTGAAATGTCTGCACAGTGAAAGATAATCAAAGCTGCTACAGTAAAATTTTATGTGGACCAATTAGGATAACGAAATTACTTTGAATTACTAAACTGCCCTTGTCAACAAGCAGGCATGTTGACGGAGAGCTCTCTGCTAACTCTCACTTATAAGATATCCTCTGTTTCATATTAAATGAGGTACTTTCCTTTTTAGTCTGTTTCAAAATAAATTATGTATTTTAAAATTTGTAAATAATTCAACTTTAAACTTCTCATTTTGCCGATTTTACCCTTAATAAGAAGTTTGAATCAAACTGCCTCATTTAATTTGAAATGAAGGAATAATATAGTAGATAGAAATAGAAAAATCTAGATTCTCAGATGTCGGTATTTGACTAGCATTAAAATCTATAAATAGAGTGTAAAACAAAAAACCTCTTCCTAGTCCTGTGGCCAAGAATGTGTTTTACCACTTTTCTTTAAAAACTCTAGATGTCGGCATTGGACTAGCATTAAAATATATAAATAGTGTAAAACAAAAAACCTCTTCCTAGTCTTGTGGCCAAGAATGTGTTTTACCACTTTTCGTAAAAAAATCTAGATGTCGGCATTGGACTAGCATTAAAATCTATAAATACAGAGTGTAAAACAAAAACCTTTCCCTAGTACCCTGTGGCCAAGAATCATGTGTTTTACCACATATCTTAAAATCTTGATGTCCAGATGTCAACATTGGATTGGCTTACAAATCTATAAATACAAAGTCTTTGTAAAACGAAAAACACATCCATAAGCAATTATATATAAGATCTCTAAAGAGTTTAAGTTAATTGTGTCCATTACTTGTTTCTAAATATTTCCAAGTTCAAAAGCAAAAAACCATGGACAAAAATCAGAAATTGAGCTACGATATTGGCGTAGCTAAGGGCCAAGCCCAGGTTTGCATTAATCTTCACTATCTCTTCCATGCGATTTTTAATTTAAGTTGGTAATTTTTTGATATGTTTAAATATTGAGGATAGAGTTATCGCATGCAAGTTGACCCAAATATCACTACAATATAGAAAATCATGGTACAAACTTAGTTTTACTAATTTCATTCCATCGAGTAGGGGCGCCTTTTAGCCTTTTTTTTATCACATAGGTTCTATAGGAGTTTTTATTTATTTATTTAAACATTCCATTTAGTGAGCTTATATTTAATAGAGTTGATGAAAATGATAGGAGACCATGACTTTAAATAACAAATAGAGATAAAAAAAAAATATTTGTTGGATCTGTTTAAGCATTAATGAAAAAAAAGTATATGATATTTGCATTGGTGAAAACATGTAATGGATTTCGGACACCACTAATATCGTTTTGGAACGAAAAAACCCTTCATTTCTGCATGAAATTTGTGTTAATTTTTTTCACTCTAGATGTCTATACGAGTATACATAAAAGAAGTTTAATTGTTTTAGCAACTACTTCCTACATAACACTGTATGAATTTGCGATGCATCAGGAAAAAGGTAGTCAATTGATGGAGAAGGCTGGGACTGCTGTGCAGTCTGCCAAGGAAACAGTGCAAGAGGTTCGGACTTTGTTAATTATTCATTTATCAATCAAACATGATCCGTCCATAGAATTTGAAGTTTATGAGTTCTGAATATGCCACAGAATTCATAGTTAGTCCTAGCAATTAAATATTTATAAATATTTAATAGATTTTTTGTATAAATACAATGTTTAAGCAAAAGTGATTGGGTTCAGTCGAACCCGCATACTATAGGCTAGCTCCGCCTCTAGATCCGTCCTGTGAGGATCAGATCGAGCTAGAATACAACTTATGAATTCGGCGGAACACATTCATGAGATATTTACACGAATAGCCGACCGAATTCATTATTTACTATTCTTATCCGGTATACATAGATTATATATCCGCCAGCTATTTTTAGTTTAAGCGGTTATTTAGATTAGTTATTCAAATTCATTTAGTCTATATAAATAATTTATTCAGAGTCCGATAACCTCTTTTTAGAGATTAAATCCTTTTAACTCAAAATCTTAGCATCGCCCCACCATCTGCAATAAATCTAAATTTTTGAAGCTTATTTATATAAAAAATATTCTTTTTAATTTTGGTGATATTTTGATATAGGTGGGGCAGCAAGTGAAGACCAAAACACTAGTAGCAGCAGATGCCGTTACAACGCCACCGGCATGAACAAATAAACCACGTTAATTTCTACCATATTATCGTTTATGAAGATCTTAGTTTCTTCTAATTCAATTGGGTTACCAATTTATGTTGCTTAAGTTTGAATTATTGGTGAGAACTTCTGCGTTTCTGAATAATATTTTAGAAGCAGCGTCTCTAATAATGTTCTGTTCTTAATTATAATTGCATATATAGCGGCACATGCAGTAGCTATATGATCCAAATTCACTTGGATGTACTAGCTTTGCTGTTCTTATACTTTCGTGTTCTTTTTAAGACCATGATCTAACTTCCATAGAATATTACAACTTTTCTCAAGATTACAACGACAACCTGAAGGAAATAATAATTAATATTTCTTATCAATAATAGTCCTTCATCTATTACGGAATTAAATGTTTTTTACATGATAGTTTATTTATGCGTCAAATAGTATGGAAACAATTTCCTATAATCACTTATGATTTGACTAGGGGAAAATGACCATATGAAAATATTATGTGTTTTATTTGGGGTTTTAACATATTTCATATAAAAGTGTCTTGTTTTTGCATTAATTGCTACTTCATTAATTTTATTGATTAGTGTACTCGTTGTATTTGCTTCTCCTGGTGGCTAACTAATAATGGACCACAAATTAAAATTGAATCTCCCGTCAAATATCCTTATAGCGCCACAGTTTTCGTAAAGTTTTACGGGCAAATTAGGACAATTTCGCAAAGTTCAAGGGTAACTTTAAACTTTTACAAAAGGAAATGTATTGAAAAACTTTCGCTAGTAAATAAACATATTTAGATTTTAGACCAATTTTATATATAACGGTAGGGACAAATTTCATCAAAACTATTAATGAATGGTATATTTGGACAATTTCACAAAGTTCAATTGGCATATTTAAACCTTAACCCTATTCATATATAATGATGGAATAGATTAATTGTGATTAATCCAAACTCATTTGCCTTAATTTAATTGGTGCATTTGAATTACAAACCAAACTCATTTATCTTATGGTCATAAGCTTCCATTTTAACTCGCCAAAGTGTGTCATTTATAAACTTGGCGAGCATGTATTGTGTCACGACCCGCATCCCATCAAATTGTAATGATATCTAACCCAACCCGCAAACCAACCAACTCAGAAGTAATCCTCAACAGAAGATAACCATACAAAATAATGAATTATAATCGCGAAATTTATAAAACTATCCAAGAATTAGTATCACAAGTCATGAGCGACTAAGAATGAGAATATACAACGCGAATATGAAAATATAACATCTATTCTAAATATTTAAAACTGATATACAAGTCTCAAACTACCATGAACAAGATGACAACTTGCAAATGGAACATTACTATATCTTTAATGCTTGCTCTCGAACACTACAATATCTCAACTGTAAAATAGTATGAATACTTCGACACAATATTTTGTAAGTATCAAGACAACTTCAGCGAAGTAGTGGCGAAGTTTTATCAAAAGATACTATTTTAACATGTGCAACTCATATACAACGCAACAATAGAGAAAGTTGATAACAATCAAAGTATATAACAATATGCACAGATAGGACATACGATAATGATGCAACCTATCTCAGATAAATAAGTTCAACGCATCAAAGCAACATATTTAATGATATGCACAATCAGTTTGACTATACTCCTTAATTTTAACATTCTTTTTTATCATTTGGAATTTAAAATTTTTTTTAAAATTAGTTCACTTTAATCCTCAAGCAAAGGCGTAGCATTTAAAATTTGTAGTACCCATTTTATCTTCCAACTAAACTATCCTTTTCCTCATAATTTTTCTGATCAGAAAGTGGGAAAAAATGTTTTTGAAATTTTGAAATGTAAATTGTTTCTTTAAAGAGAACACAAAAGCAAAACCCATATAAAACTGCTAGGTGTGGCCTTGAAACATCCAAAGTGTGGCCCACATGATCAGGAAGTGGCAGCTTTAAATGCTGCAGCAAATGCGTGGCGTAAGACATTCAGGTGGGTCCCTGCAATTTTGGCAAACTTATCAGCGTGTACAAGTGCTACAGCTAGGATGTACAATATCTTTAAAGCAAGTAAGATCTGAAATTCCTAAACTATCCTTATAGTGAAACTAGAGTGTAAAACAAAAAACCTCTTGCTAGTCCTGTGGCCAAGAATGTGTTTTACCTCTTTTCTTTAAAAAAATCTTGATGTCGGCATTGGACTAGCATTTAAATCTATAAATAAATAGTGTAAAACAAAAAACCTTGGCCAAGAATCATGTGTTTTACCAAATATCTTAAAATCTTGATGTCCAGATGTCAGCATTGGATTGGCTTACAAATCTATAAATACAAAGTCTTTGTAAAACGAAAGACACATCCATAAGCAATTGTAAGATCCGTAAGAGTTTAAGTTCATTGTGTCAACTACTTGTTTCTAAATATTTCCAAGTTCAAAAGCAAAAAACTATGGACAAAAATCAGAAATTGAGCTATGATATTGGCGTAGCTAAGGGCCGAGCCCAGGTTTGCATTAATCTGCATTATCTCTTCCATGCGATTTTTAACTTTAGTTGGTGATTTTTTTATCTGTTTAAATATTGATAATAGAGTTATTCCATGTAAGTTGATCCGAATATCACTGTAATATAGAAAATCATGTTACAATCTTAGTTTTAGTAACTAGTAAAATTGTCCGCGCTTCGCGTGATTTTGTTAAAGATTGTTTTTAACGTATATGTATACAAATTTTAATTTTATATGATGGTGAAATAAAAAACATAAATAATTTTTAATATAAAAAGTAGAGCTCAGATGAACTTCAGTTAAATAGTTAGATCATCTTTAAGAAAGGAAATGTGAATTCTTACTTATGAATTAACTACATAGATAGATCCAAATTCTTCTATTTAAATAAAAGACAAAAATATGGTAAAAATAAAGAAACTAAAACTAAATAAGTGGACTGCATTCTATTTTCAACATATGCTTCTTCTCCTATTGTTTTCCTTCATTAGTTTTTTTCTTTCACTGTTCTTTTCCTTTATAATTCTATCGTCGATCTTCCTCTAAATTATCTATCCCCTAAATAAGCTCTATTTGAGAAAAATCTCTACTTGTCTTCGATCCTCTAATTTAAAATAATTTTTTTCTTAGTCTAATATGTTTTTCTCTTTCCCCTTTCTTCCTCTTTTGTACCGCTACTTCCAAGTAAGTAATTATTTTCTTTTTCTCTCTGTTTTATGTGGTTGGTCCGAGAAAATCAGAAACTTCGGCCCCCTAACTCCTTCATGCCGTACAAATCTATATTTTCTTCTCCTAATTCTGAAGAACTCCAAAAAAAATTGCTTCTTCTATTTCAAGCTTTTTTTTCCTTTATCATATTAATAAGAAGTAAAAAATATCTAATCGAACACTTCGGGTTACGAAATAAAATTCGTCTGAGCAATCACTTAAAACTTAAGGGTCAATGAGACAATCTCAATCATTTACGTGCAGTTATAAAAAAGCAAATAGAAACTAATAAAATTCTGTATTAGAGGGACACTAAAAAATTCTGAGAATACTTTTTTCTAACTTGAAGAAATAAAAAATAATAAAAAAATATAAGATAGGTTACAAAAAACCTTGTACACTGCATTCAATCTATAGGCAATAAAAAAAAAATTTCAACATAACAGGAAAAAAAAGGTTGATAGTAGTGATACACAATGTACTAACACTTGCGCATTAGCCAAACTTGACAGATGCAGTAACATGCTTCCAATTCCTTCTTTCGACTCATATTTTAAATTTTAGGGATAAAAATAACTCCGCTATTAGTTCTTTAGTAATTCAACAAAGAGCCACTACTAACCCCACTCTACTCCTTTAAATTCTTCTTCATCCTTAAACTCATTGACCATTCTCCCAAACATTTTACAAATTCAGAAGGAAAGAAAAGGAGCCAAATAATAGAAAACGTAACATGAATATCTCATAATTAAACCTTTTCAAATAGTTCACTGCATCCATCGCTTATTCATAAATAAATTAAAAAAAAAAAAAAGAATATTGAAAACTCGGATACATAACTTTTCATGTTGTATTTCATGTATTTTCCAACAGGACATGATGTTTGGCAAGTGTAATGATGTCATTTTTCTCCATAAATAAGAAATATAAAAGGTTGGAAGTGTTGCAACTATTAATCTTTTGACCGTTTTAGAACCGTAACAGCCGTTGAAACAAAAACGTATCAATTATTATAGGGACTGATATCAAATTAATGTCATGAATGTGTAAATATTATATTAATTATTGAGATAAAGCCAAAAAATAGGGAAAAAAGATAAATAATATTGCTGGCTAAAGAGATATATAGACAAAAAGGATGACGACAACAAAAATAACATAGAATAAAGGGAAAAATGAAAAGTAAAACTGATTTCAACGCTGCAATCAATTGAATCAAATTCTATGAATATGTTCTCTAATTTTTTACCTTTCCTTTTCCATTTCGTTTACCTTTTTCTTCTGTTTCTTCCTTCTTTCGTTTTCCTTTTTTACTCATTACTTGTTCATTTTCAAGAAATAAAAAGTCAAGTTTCCTTTTTTTCCTCTTAACTTTTCAAAAGTAAAGAGAGTATGTAACCAAAGAGACTCAAAGGTATAATAAAGAAAGGTAACCTAAGAGAGCGAAGCATAATAGTGTATGTGACTAAAGATATATATAAAGCATTATTGATCTGAGTTTTTAAAATAAAATCGAATATAAGAATGGAAGGGTAAAAAAAATATGAATCTACTCGAATTGAAGGTTCTTAAAAGAGGCTTAGAAAGTATTTGTAATTTTGTCACCCCCACAATAAATTGGACTTTCTAATTCCTTCCACGTTCAAGAAAGTTTTCAGTTGTTCCCACCTGCTATTTTATGTATTATGAATTCATGACGGAAAAGATAACAAACCAATTAAATTTAAGCGAAATAATATATATAATTCAACCAAAAATAAAATAAAATAAAAGGCGGTATAACTGCTAGGATTGTTTTATCTGCATGTCATCATTATCATGATTTCTGGATTGAATGATCCTCTTTGGAGTGCCAAATACCTTAGTAGTCCTTCTTATAAGATAAGAAAGACCTACTCTTGCCCTATTTCTCTTTTATTCCCTGAAACACCAAGAAAAATAAAAATTAATTTGCATAAAATAGCAAGCACATAAAAAGATAAAAGAAAATTTACATTAGAATCCATTACAGACATGGTAGATTGAGGATAAACAGCATCCCATTCAC